TTCACACATTTTAACATAATTAGAGAGGATCCAACTACAAACTTTCACCGTTCTTTTCATCAAGAGCATCCATTTTGTAGAAAAGGGCAAGTTGGGGACTGGAAAAATATTTTTAGTGCCGAGCAGTCGGAAATATTAGATCGATTGTGTGCAGAAAAGATTGAGCCTTTGGGCCTTAAGTTCAAGTTTGAATAATTAGACTTACAATGCAGCTACGTAATACCAAGAAACTTTCCGTTGTCGATGAAATCTCTCTCTCTCTCTCTCTCTCTCTCTCACACACACCCACCCATGGGGTTATCGCCGAGGGCACTGTTGTACTAATCACGTGGATGATTTTTAAGTAAGTATCTAAACAATTGCTGCAAAGAACGGCGAATTAGGTTATCAATTCCAATTATAATTAGTTTTGACCATGAATAAAGTCAAGCGATGCTATAGTAAACAAGCAAATTGTCTTTTTTGCATGTTTGACACCAGGAAGCATGAAAAGAAAGCGTTAGTTATTAGATCTTTTGAACTAACAGCTACACGTACCTCACCAGATTTTATAAAGACAAAGTTTTCTAAAATATTTGCGAACTCCGATTCGACCATTTCGGCAGGACCGATCGAATTCAGAATTCGCATTCAGAACAGATGATCCACGGACTAACTGATCAGCCGACTAAATATGGCCGACTCCACTTGACCACTCGTTGATCGGATTTAATCTCGGCTCCTAGGTTTAATTGCTAGAACCCTGCAGCGACAGCGCGTATGGAGGCGGAGAGGCCATCAGGGAGTTAGTCGGCGCTGCTTTTAAGTAAGTCAGCCATATTTACATGTAGTTAGCGGATCTGTAGGTCCGCGGATCAACTTATTCTGAACAGTGGAATGTGGAATGATATGCTCCTGGCATCATTTTATTAACATCAAATTTCACAAACACACACACACACACACACACACACGCACACACACACAATGTAGAGCAGGCAGGCACTACTCAAGATCTGCCTACTTCGATTATTGATTACTTGATCATTATTTGATTACTCTGATTCAGGGGATGACACTTCTATCGTTCATTGTGTGTACCTTTTCAAATGAAATATCAACTACGTATACAAATATATATCCATATTAAATAGCAACTGTACAGGGTTACCACTTAATATGGAATATTATTTTTTGGCGAGTAAATTTTCTACAAAATATTTAATTTCTCTCTAACTACTTTAAATCCAAAGCTGAGGTGTCACTCCATGTGTTGCCAGGTGTGTTACCTAATTACCACACAACTCTCGAAACAATTGATGCATGCAGTTGCATGTTTTGTGGTCAGAAATGTGAGGGGTAGTCTCTTAGGCAATTTCTGCCCTTGTATATAAACGCATGGGTTTGGTCAATCTTTGGAGTGTGTTTAGAGAAGCAACAAAAGGATCGCTCTGAAACTTGACAGGTACCTTAGTGAAGATATGGTGCGACAACTTAGCAACGCAGCTTACTATGGGATTCTTGCTCTCAGAGAAAATGGCCAGAAACGGACAGCCATTGCCAGGTAATTCAGGAACCGTTTGTGAAGTCCTCCAAAGAATTGCTGCAACAGGGGCACATACTCCAATACCTCGAANATTGCCAGGTAATTCAGGAACCGTTTGTGAAGTCCTCCAAAGAATTGCTGCAACAGGGGCACATACTCCAATACCTCGAACAGGGTGTCCGCGTATCACACCAAGAAGACAGGATCGCCTTCTCCTTAAAGGACGCCGTGCTGGTCGTACAAAGACAACCAGTGTCCTCAGAAAAGAGAGGCAGAATGTCATTCAAACGCCCGTTTCAATGTCCCTCGTGAACAAGAGATTACTGCAAGCCGGTTATGGGCGGAGGTTATTCACAGAATTCATAGCTATGGTCCTCGGCCGATAAATAGTGATGAACTGCGACAGGCAAATATCACTGCGTGGAATGATATCCCCACCCAAACTCTAAAAAACGTGTCACAGGGTATGCCATGTAGGATGAGGGCGCTGCAAGCGGCTGCTGGAGGTCATACCCGATATTACTGACTTTTCATGATTCACTGTAGTGAGTTCTTTGACTGTGTAACATATCACTGTCCGGAGGCTATCATTTTTTTAAATATCTTATCTTAAAGTTTATACTGACATAAAACTGTTGATATGGTTTTCTGGGGGTGTTCCTTTTTTTTGAATGGCATCTTATGTCAGATTTGATATTATTGTCCAAAATATCTCACAAAAGAAGACTGGATGTTATTATCACTCAGCGACATACTTTTTTAATGACTCAAGCCCAAAAAAATTTAATCAGCACTCAAAAATAACAATGATAAAAAATATTCCATATTAAGTAGCATACATATATATATATATATATATATATATATATATATATATATATATATACCTTTGAGGTTGGAATTGTCTTTGCCTTTGAAGCAATGATTTATAATTCATTATCATTCCATCTCTGCCAGTGCAACAGTTGCACTTGTGGCTTTTGGAGACGTCGAAATAGAAGAAATAATAAATCTTCTCGGTAAAAACTACATGGCAATGTCAGGTCTACGTCCTTTCCTAAAGTGTGGATTCATTACGTTGTGTGGAGGAGCCATATTTTTGCTACTGTGCGTAGGTAAGCAAAGAGATCACTATATATGTATGGTATTCCTTTTATTCAACTATTTCATTGAGGTGTCATCTCGCAGCCACATTTATCCACTATAAACATGAAGCTGGAGTTATTCTTACAAAGTGAGATATTCTGAAGCCATTAATGAAGTCTTACTAAATCACTATTATATCCTTTTTTCAGAATAGTAATAATTAGTGCCTTGGCTGTACATAATCAATTTATCTGCTTGCCGAATCGGTCAATACTTTTTTCAACATTAGTCATTAAATTCAGGCCCGTAGCCAGCATTTTTAAAAGGGGGGTTCTTTTTCCGAAAGAAGTGGACCTTTTACAATGAAACCTTTGTGTGCCCAGATCAAATTTCACCAAGCATAGACGTTTTCCTTACAAAAACGATGGTTCTTTCGAACCACCGAATCCCCCATGACGACGGGCCTGGCTATATTGCATCAGTATGGGTAGAAATTTCATAATGGTTGTTAATTTCTAAAAACTGGAGATGATCAAAATCTATACTGAATTCTAACGTGGCCTCGAGGATTCAATTTCCATAGAACTGCAGCATCATTAAAAATTCAGTATTTCTTCATATTGATGGTATAAATGCTGTGTTAAATAATCAATTCACTTTATAAGATCTAATGAGCAGTGCTTGCCATCTTTCTTTCCCAGGAATCAAGACTGCATATCAACCACTTTTAAATCCAGAGAAGGTTTGTGAGAAATCTGTTCACCTGACTGGCAGCACCTTACAAGTAGGTAGGCCTACCGTTATAACTATATACACATATTAGTAAAGTAGCAACACTTTCATTTTTCACGTTCTTCAGAGGATACAGCAAAAGTTGGCTTTGTCAAATATCCAATATTGACCGCCAAACAATTTAACAGAATAGCTGGTCAAAAGAACCCAGTTCCTTCATAGCTTCTTAATTGATTTGTTACTTTCTCCAGGGGCTACAATGGGATAAAGTACCCGTGGAATGGAAGGAGATTATGAACCGGAGAAGACAAATGCTGCATCAGATGTGCAAGGATCTTAATGAAACCACAAATACTGACACTCCCATTAGCGTGTCCAAACTTGATATTACAGATAGAGTCATTGTCGATGACTTGCACCGTGTAATTGTATGTGCAATTCCTAAGGCAGCAAGCAGATCGTGGCGTAAGTTAATGCTCCAACTAAACGGACAGCTGAATACCTCTGTGGTATACAAAGATATGCCTTATCCGGAAACGAAAATATACGAACGTCGACTTTACACCTACACGGATTTTGGTATCCACACTCGAGTGAACAGTCATATTAAAATAATGACCGTCCGCCATCCTCTAGTGCGGCTGGTCTCGGCGTACAAAGAACAATTTTTTTTATTTCCAAAAATCAAGGAATATATAAGACGAAGAGAACGAAAAACGCGTAACATTACTTTTACGGATTTTCTGAATTATCTCGTCGGCCACCGAAATATCCACTGGGATCCGTTTAACAAGTTGTGCTCGCCTTGCAAACTGCGGTACGATTTCGTAGCATACTTTGAGACTATCGAAGACGACACCAAGAACATTATAGCTCTTCTAGGCGCAGACGACTTAATCAAGCTCTCGCCCTCGCATCGATCAAGTAAATTGTCGTCCGACGATGAAGCTCGGAAGTACTATGCAGGAATTGATAAACAACTTTTGAAGCGACTCAAGGAATTGTATTGGATTGAAGAGAAGTATTTTGGATATAATATGAGTTTATTTGGATAACAAAAGAAAAATAATAACAATCAATTTATATAAAAAAGACTGTCAAAGTTAAGTCTAACCATCAAAAAGAAAAAAGAAAGATAATAATAATCATCTTTTAAAAGTAGCGGGGTTTGCGTTAAATTTAAGGTTAGGGGACGCATTCGCCTATTTTTTAAACAGATATTAGATATTTTTTCTAAACGTTCTAGTAGGACGTCTGTACTTTGGTGGTTAAATTATTAGCTATTATCTGTCAGACAAAATAATCAATGTTGGAAATTCTGGAAATGTTATATTTGTTACATCCGGAGTTTTATTCCAACAGAAGGTAACCTTGCTTTTTTACGCATCCTTATAACCGTCTGTCAGCAATAAAAGATAAGCAGACGATTTTGCCTTTAAGTCAGGTGAAACACAGGGTACATTGTAAAATTTGCACAAACCCCTCCCACGTTAAAATTTTCAGTCAAGAAAGTTATAACTGCATGAAAACGTGCTCTTCTCCTATTGCGTCGTGTCTCAACCAGGATCACCAACCACAATCTTCATATCACGTATGAATCCGCTGTGGAGCCGTCTTTTTCAACCATAAGCATTTTGTAACCGCAACATATTTTGCAGCCTGATAAACGTGAATATGAATTTTGCAACAGTCACGTAAAAATATGTTAACGAACTTCTGCATTAACTATTTTTGTCATTGAGGGGCTTGTGGAATGAGGTTATCAAATAAAGTTGGAACTGCATAACTGAATTGCACAAGTCGATAGGTGCAATATGTCTGTAACAAAATGCAATACTAGCATAGCCGCTTTTTAAACAGCCCACCGCATTGTTCATAACTAAACATTTCATTTGTTTGGTTTATGTGGTAAAACAGAATGTGTGATAAACAATCCAATATTTAATATCTACTCTTACAATTTCAATAACAATTTTAGCCATCAAGTTGAAAATCCAGCTGCAATGTTTCTAATATCATCGAATATTTTCAATGGACCATGAAGAAAAATATTAAAAGATATAATGCACAAAATACAAAACAAAAACTCGTATGTTAAAGAAACTGCATAATTAAAAAAAATATATATTAGAGGTACTTTCACTTCATACTATAGTAAATGAGTCACGTGTATTTAATGTTCCTATAAATACCCTTAACATAGTTTGCCATCTAGCTTACATACTGAATCAGCCAATCTGCAAAACAGACCCTTTTGCCAGTATTAAGGAGTATTAATCCTCTGGCTATAAATAAATAAATAAATAAATAAATAAATAAACAAGTTACAGGTGAATTGAACGCACAGCATGATTTAGTGCTCACAGCTCACAGGGCAACCACAAATGTATACTTCCTCCTCAGCATCTTCGAGAACACTTGGGATTCAAATTCAGGGCCTTAGCCTGAGCAAAATGCCAGGGGGGGGG